TTTTTTGCAGTACAAAAAAGGAAACGTATTTCAGAATAATAGGTAACAAAATTACCCTGTTGTCCTTACTGTATTGCACCACTCCGGCAAAGTTGAAAAATAGATTGGCGAACAGATTAGTCGTATCTAGCGGTTTCGACAGGTCGCATGATTGGCAGATGCTCAAAAGTCAGATGTGTACTTGTAACAAACACAGCGCAACGAACTGACTTACTGAAACATATTTCGTAATTTCTGTATGTCTTGTTGTTTGTCAATGATTTGCTCGATTTCCTCTGTCGCCTGTTGAATGTTTTCCACACATTTTGAGCTGTAATCTTTCAGGGATTGCACCACCACTTTTAGGTATTCTGAAACGCTTGAAGAGTTAAGCTATTATAAGTCCTTTTATAAATGGTACCCCAGAAATTAACTTTTGCTTCTACTGGAGCACTACTGGATACTGCTCCAATCGCCAAGTGCGGATACTTCATTCTAAACCAGGCTGCCAAGTTTCCTACCGAAGTAAATTAAAGTGGAATAGTCTTCTTATTGTTCAATGCAACAACTGCCTGATGAAATTCAGTGTCAAATTTGGTCATAAACATTTTACCTGGGTATGAGCCCCCAAATGTAATCCACTTGGGACTTTTAATTGAGTATGCGGTGTTCATCGATTGAATAAAAAAGGCAATGTCAGCAAGTGCTTGTTCGCTTGAAAGCCATTTTAAGTTCGGCGTACTGATGTCACTAAAATCATACTTGAATCAATCTTCGCAATGTACTCACACTGCAATAAGTTTGCGATACGCTATTTAAATTAACGTTTTTCTCATGCTCTATTTTTCACCAAATAGAATTTTCTTCTCTCAGTGTTCTTAATGCCTGAAGCAACAGAAATGAGTTTCGTATATGCGTTATTGTGTTTGTTGAGACCGTTACTTTGAGTCGTTTGCATAAGCAGAGCACATCTGTTTTGTGATTTTCGCTGTATTCATAGCTTTTCAACGCTTTGGCCATAAGGCACTGGTTATTGTGTTATAAATAGAAATGTTCAACTCCAAAAGCAAATCTGCTCTACCTTGTTGCACGTTCTGAAAAAGTGTCTACGTGTTTCGACTGCCACATGGAAAGTTCCTGGGCTTGAATAAATGCCGCATGTTCAGTCAGTTTGTCTGAGAAGGTCAACCTTCTTTCCTTAATCTCCGCATCTACTGAGGTCGCCTTTGCGGAAACAGATGAGAAACTTTCCTTACGCTCGAAGCCAACGCTGTTGTCGGCCATTTATCCATCGTTCTTGCACGTTTGTTAGAATAACTGTCTCCGTGCTGTACAACGACAGTGACCTGGCGGAGACAGAGTATAGACTGATTTCTGTAGAAACGGTTTCTGCCCATATTTTGACAAATATTCTAAACCACTTGAACTTAAGGTGATCCTTCTACTTAACTATGATTTGACGGTGCTGTCGCTGGACATGATAGAAGCAAAATACTTTAATTGGTCATTCTCCTGAAGCGCTTCACCTCTCCGCTGTTGTAGGTCAGCTTTTTGCCGAAGTGGTTCCTCATGACTGTTTACTCCCATGCGTTAAAAAGCAGGCTGGCTTTGCAGCTGTGTCAGGTGATAGAGCCTACTCCCCATACTACTCACTCGGACCGTGTTATCTGTGTAATCCAGGTCAGCAAGATATCTAACCGGATACCTTGAACTGCCATTCATTCTAAAATGAATCAGACCTTCGTCTTTGCTAGGTTCAGCACTGTTCCAGAGAACAATGTTGAATGGTAAAGACGAAAGCACATCTCCTTAGCGAACTCTACCGATAAGAGGGAATCGTTCAACTATTTCTCGTTCAGTTTTGGCTTTGACTGCGGGGATGGTTTCTGCATACATCATTTCCATTTCCAATTTGTATACATCTTCAAAACGATGTGCTCAGGTACACAATTTTCTTATTATTTTATGACTATGTACATTACATATCATGTATATACCCACTGTAGGCTTCTACGAGGGCCACTGCTTAACGGCTAACGCGCCTGCCCCTTGACCAGAAGTCTGGGTTGAAACCGTGATGCAGCCGAAACTTTGAAGCAATTCTGGTTATGAAAGCTTATGCAGTTTGCTAGCGTCTCCTTATTTGGGAAAAGGCAGTATCAGTGAAATATGCTATTATCAATGGCCTAATGTAGCATTAATCCAGAAGGACTTGCCCATTTTGGTAATTATGTAAATTTTGCTACACGACATCCTATTCAAGTGCTATGTAAATAATTAGAGATATACAGAGAATTCGTGTACGAAATTTATAGAGGATGCCTGTTAATCGAACGATTCAGAGTACAGTCAATTACAAATGGCCGTGGGGCAAAGGCGCTTCCATACGATCTTCCATGGCATAGGAAAATAATCATTTTTTATGAGTCTGTGTTTTATGTAAGGGTCATGGACAGAATCATATCTCACCATTTGGGCAGAAAATCTGTCTGCCAAATCTCACTCTCTTATTCAGATGTATTCCTAAACTTTTACGACATAAGAATCGACTGTAATTATCTGCGACATGATGATGACTTTCAACATTAGAAGAATGCAGCTTTGGCTACGAACCTGTTTTTGATTTTTTTGCAAAAACTCAAAATGAGACCAGTTTCTGAAGTATTAATGACGACCAGCGATGCTCTTAGTCGATAAAATGACGCGGGATCTGTATAGTACTGCAGGTTTCCATAGGCCATGTTTGTTCGCACGTATGTATGTATGTTTGCATGTATGTATGTATGTATGTATGTATGTATGTATGTATGTATGTATGTATGT